AGCGGAGTGGACTGGAGGGGTCACTGTTTGTGTAGCCCCATTTAAATTACGGTCAAGGTGCCTTCTATGCAACGAGATCTGCTACCAGTGTAAGCATAGTATTTTCATTTTTTTTAAACTGATGGGTGGGTCCTTTTTAACATCGGAGTGAAATATTTTAGTCCTTGAAGTTTCTGTTTTTTTTTAGCCTTTTTTGAATAGTTACAGCTGCTGCAGTTCCATGGGGCAAAGCAGGCCAGGAGAAAGAACTGATTTTTATTTTATTATTTGATTGTATAGTAAATGAGTGAGCAGGGCACTTTACCCACAGAACATCAGCATGTCTCTCCTTTCTGGCCCTGTGGCACTTTGAGAATGCTCTGGAGTGCAAGGCGCTATATATTAATACCACTCTCTGATTGATTAGTTGCATGGGTAACAGCCAAGTTACAAACGTCTGTGAATCATTGGATAGTTAGAATGACACAGTACATGGTTATAGAAGAACGCAGATTTATTTTAACTACAGGACGTCCCTTTTATAGCCTACGTTGCTGGTTAACATATCCGAGCAAACCTGGAAATGTGAAAATGCAGGGTTTGAAAAGTGTAGAAAACCGTCGTTTGATCCTTGTTAAATTGGAAGATGACAACTTTCAAAACACTGTTAATGACAGATGGTTATGGACATTATTTAAGACATGTCGTTTATAAGAAGTAGACCTGCAATGTGAGAAGAGCAAAAAAAAAAACCTTGCGTGTTTTTAATTCAATGCACCGTAATTTAATATGAGGTTCAACAAATTTTGTTTCATTACACAAATACGTCAACTATAAATGGGACATCCTGCATAATCTGAGCTCGTTTTAGGGCTGAAGGGTCAAAATGCTAATCTGTGAAAAATCAATCTGGAGAAAGTTACATTTCCATTGTTTGTGGGCAAGAGCTTTTTAGTCTTTAACATCAGAAAATAAAGTTGTTGTTTTTTTAATCGGGAGTCTGAAGCTCAGTACCTGGATTGCTCTGGGTCTCCTATTTCATTGAATTACAACTCTCCGGCGCACCTGTAGTCTAATTAACTGGATAACCGTAGTACATCTAATTAGGCTCCATTTGTTTCGGTGGGTAATTGTACCATTTAAAAAAAAGTTCATGTTTCGTGTGGAATTTAGGAAACAGCTGGGTAAATTGTTTAATTGACTGTTCGGGGTGGAATAAAATATCTTGTATCTAAACCAGATTTCAAGAACGAAGCACAAAGTTAATACATTATAATAATCGCGATTCCTGGCAAAGATGACGTTTAGATTAAAAAAAATAATCATCTCCGGGCTCCATCTCGCACGCGCACCACTGCGGTCCGCACGAAGGTAATGACGTCACGCAAAGTGTGATTTTTTTTTAACCCGCCTGCGACGATAGCAAGACTGTACAAGATGGCAGTTTTGGATGTCTGAGCTCCGCGTTTTCGGTTATTGTACTGGTTTTTCCTTCCTTGGAGAACACAAAACTGTATAAATGAAACGCCTGCCGATCCGGGCAGACACTGCGTCCTCATGTAAACAAATATTACCAGCTCTCGCATCAGTACTGACCCATTTCTTTACAAAGTTCACTTTTTTTCGCACCATCATAACCGTTACACTATGTCCCCTTAAGGGCTCCGTAGTTTAGGTTTCACAAGCATTACTTTTTATTTTCTCGGGGAAAATGGAAAGAAAGAAAATACTTTCATCGTTGCGTAGAACCCAGCTAGTTCATTTGCCCCCTCGTTTTTAACACCTCCGGCTGACGGGAGGAGATGTTCACCCCCTGAGAAAGTGTGAGCATGATCTTCCTCCCAGTCCCATCCATCCAGATCCGGAGACAACGACATTACTCCACACTGTCTGCTCCCTTCTCCCCCGCAGCGAGAAATCGCCTCGGCAGCTCTCGCCTTGGACAGCAAGATCGCGAGCGCGCGGCTCTCTCTTCCTGCCGGAAGAGGGCGGGAAGGGAGGGGCGGTTGGCCCACGCGCACTTCCGGTCATGCGCAAACAGTCTCCCCTCTCCGTCTCCGTCCCCGTCCCCCGCTCAGATGAGTTTCATCGTGAACCGCCCCCCGTCGGCCCCGTCCCCGCCCCCGCCCCCCCCCACTGAATTGCGGGGCACGAAGTCGATGGTGGCGGTGTGCTTGATCTGCCCCTTGCCCCGGCTCCAGAAGAACATGAAGACGAAGCAGATGACCACGGAGCTGAGGAAGGACAGGAAGCCCATGGTGGTGGCGATGACGAGCGTCTTGGCATCGAAGGGGAAGGGCCGGGGGTCCTGGGAGGAGGCGTTGGGCGAGGCGGGGGTCTCGGGCTGGACCGTCCAGCCCCCGGGGAAGAAGGGCGCGG